CAGAAGGGACAAGGCGGGCTTCCTACCTTAGCGAAGGGGTAAAAAGGAGCCTGTCAGCTTTCAAGTGGAAGAGTTCCCATTAAAACTGTGCGAATTCAATTAAATTTGAACATATTAAACCAGACACGGATATAAGTAGCCGTCAGTAAACGTTATCATTCAAAGAGAAACACAACGAACCGGTTTCACAGCACTTTTGCCACCAGCATGCTGAAGTCATTGCGCTACTTTACATCACTCCACCCTCCTCCCAAGGGCTTTTGGTGCCAGTAACAGGGTGCTATGGGGACAGCACAGCCTCCTGCGCTGGAGGCCACCGAAGTCCTCCTGCTCACCTTCCTCCCTTGGCAGGTCTTCATGGATTTCCCCATCCTCCGCCGTACTGCACCACCTATGTGGCTTTGCTCATTCCAAACCAGAGAGGAGGCCATTTTCCCTTGCTGTACTCTCTCTTCCCTCCTGCTGTCTGCTTCTGTTGTGTGCGGATCGTTCCCTGGGACCCCACTCCTTCTGCTTTGCTTTCCCACCTCTGCTTCCTCCTCACTGCCACCCTTACTTGACCAGGAATCCCTCTTTTTCTGCAGCTCCTTTCCCCTGTCCCAGATTCCTTCTATGTGTTTTCCTTCCCCTGTTACCCAAATTTTCTCTGGGTCCCAGATTTCAACCCAGTATACCTCCCTCCCTGTGTGCTTACTCCCTCCAGCTTCCACCATGGTTCCCACCTCTTTTTCTCATAACTTTTCAAAATAGACTGCACCCTCTTGATACCCTTCTCCTCTTCCTATAACACTCTTAAAAACCTATAGATTGCATTCCAGAAAGCGAGTGGGCCTGCTGATATCTCAAATATTTTCCACCATTCTAGAAAGAGAGGCATTATTCCAAAGACACTCTGCCAGTGAGAAAGAAATACCATGCCTTGCTTCATTCGGGCAGTTAGAGTAACAGCAGGATGTCAGAAGTCGCAATACAATTATATTCACTGCTAACAAATGTTTTTACTTAAAATAATCAAGTTTTTACTCACCACCAGGGTCACATAGTACAGTTGTCAGAGTAGCAAAGGCAGCACAACAGCCATTCCTAACACTTATCTGGAAGAAGTAGTATGGACTTCCATTTAGCAATGAAATATGTAGCAGAAATGTCAGCGCTTGTCTGAATTAATAAATATCACCCTAGTTTAAATTCCAAAAAGCGGATTGAAGAAGCCACACTACTACACCTGTAACTCTAATCCTTGAGTGCTGCATCTTGCCCACTTTTTCAAATGGAAAATTAACACTACTGAGACTCTGCAAATCTTGCATATATCCCTCCTGTAGTATCTTGCTGACATTTGTGTTCAGATTTATTAATCTCTATCAGTTTAAGAAAAATAAGATGCAAAGATAAAGCACTTGTCGTACATATTCTGGATTCAGTGCTTTTGCAGCTCTGGCATAGCCAGTTAGGAATTTGGCAATCTCTCTCTGAAGCTAAAATATTAAGAGTCAGAATTAAAGTCAAATATGCGATCGCACATTTCTCAGAAAAAAAAAGCACAAAATACACACAGAAGAAGGAAGCTTACCAAAAATAGAACAAATGCATAATTCATTCTGTTATGAAAGCCTTGAAGATTTTGATTAAACAACATAATTTCCTCAGCTATCCAGTGTGCTGCACTTTGTGAGGCAGAAGCACACAGAAGCTGCCTGTTACCTTGAATGACTGTGACTCAACTATTATTGCTGTACACCAGAAAAACGAGAAAACAAAGCATCTTTGAGCTCGAGTGGGATCTGTTTTTTGAGAAAGAACAAGAATTTGGGTATCAGAAACAGTGAAACCTGAGTCAAGGGCAATTCTTTAGATCAAGAGAGGCTTTCAGCCTGAATGAAAGCGATGGTGGAGCTCCCATCGATCTTCGGGAAGCCAGTATTTCACCTCTGCTCTTCACAGCTCCCAGACTTTCAGTTTATCCCTCACTGAGACAAGAATGAATCATCCCAGGAGTGGTTCATCACATCAATATGTGCTCTCTTGCTTGCCAGCAAGGCCCTGGATCTTTGACATTTGGCATTCCAGGTCTTTGTGGCACATTGAGGGTGGGGAGAAAACCAGAACAAAAATCCAGAAAAGTGACTCCTGCACAGGAACTCAAAAGCCTGCCAGCACACAGATAACAGTAACACACCTTTCCTTTGGGCTTGCCAGAGGAATGAAACCGCACCCAGCTTCAGAAGAGCCATGACTAGCACTGACAACACGCAACATGATAAATGGGCAAATGAACTCCTCATGTTCTTGTACCTTGCGCATCAGAGTACTGGAAAAGATCAGGCTGCAGATAATTCCTGTTAGGTCTTGTGAGCTACTGACATGAAAGAGAGATACTGTAGAGCACAGTGGTCTTGGGAGTTTCTTTTCTGCAGTAGCAGAACTTGATTTTTTTTTTTTTAAAAAATTATTCAGTAACATTAAGGAAATGGAGAATATAAAAATTCGTGAGTTACAATTATGTTTACACTTTGCACTTCTCTTTTTTAGTTTTAAGATATTCGAAAACAACACAAAACCATCATCAAAACAAAGGAAGAAAATCATGAAAGAATTATTTATTAGATTATTATGTCATACATTAGAACTGTCCTGGGTAACACCTTGAGTAAAAGCATCCCAGTTGTACCTAAGAGATTATGCAGCCACTTCTGAGATATAGCAAAGCTTGAACAATGCTTACAATATTTATGATATCAGCTTTTAATTCACTTGTCAACTTTGATTAGCTCCTCACCCAAGAGAAGCAAAGTGGCAGCCACCCTACCGGTTATAGGGGACAAACAGCTTTACTATCAGCAGTGGCTTTCTTGCTCTCAAAACAGGTACCCCCCGCCCCAAAAACTGGCTCAGCCCTGTAGTCATTGTGGCATCAATTTTGGTTTATTCCTAAGAAAAAAATTCTCTCCAACTGCCTGCACTGCCAACTCATCAGCTAACCAATCTGTACCTTGAGTTTATGCCCAGCCCTGCTAGCAGCTGGTAGGGCACTGCAGCTGCACACATTACAGGAAAGCTGCATACCTGGGAGCCCTACAAAAGCTGCACTGGCTGCTAGAGGACATGGAGGAAGACTTTTTTCACGCTTCAGCTCTATTAGTCTGACTTACACTTGTGACCTGAATACCAGTAAGCTGATTTAGCATTTCTTTACCAACCACCATCTGAGCATCTGAAAGTATTATATCCTTGATCTCCCTGCTGCATCACTGGAACAGCACGCTAAGCCTTAGCCAACAAGTTTTCATTTCATGTACCTATGGCAGACTGTTACCATTTGCCCTGTTTTAGAAATGGGAAAACTAAAGCAACTGAGCCTTAAAGCATGATTTGTACCATTTCAATCCTATTGTGCATATGCTAATCAGAGAGACAAATAATCTGGTATATGACTTGCTAAAAAATGAAAACAGATTGTAGAACTAATGTCTCAAAATGTGTACCTGAGGCAAAACTGGGCATTAGTTAAGAAATGCTAAACTTTTTGAGTATTAGAATAGCTTGCACTGAGGTTAAACACACTGACATCATGACCAAGTTGCCATCTGCCTTGTGCTTCTGATGCAAAATACTTCACTTAATCCATACTTACATCTGACGCCAAGGTCATGCTAACAGATGGCTCACTTTTAAGAAAGGGCATATTAAGCGCAATGGAGGCTCTACAAACACCTGCAATGAAATGTGTTGAAGAATTAAATGATTTGAAAGATCTCTGCCAAACCACCTTAGCTCCTCTGGCCGAGGTCCTCGAGTGGCAGCTGTAGATGGGTTATTCCCAAGTGAGAGAGTGAATTCCTACCTGTCAGTTGACGTTGATGAATTGTAGTCTGTTCTCCCAGCTTCTTTCCATAGGGTTGATGCTGCAAATACCAGTCCAAGTCATGCAAGAAATTCCATTCTGCTTCTGGTCTCTTCCAAGTTCCTGCGTTGCTTACAACTTTGTGATTGCTATCTTAACTCCCTGGAAAGCAAGCTTCGCTCCCACTCTACTATGTGAGCTTAGGAGGTATTAAATAAGAAACAAAGTCAGATCCTCATGCATGCATGTATTTTACTATTTTCATAATAACTAGGAGTTATGAAATAAATTAGGCAACAAATAAAATGATAAATTAGATTAATAATATTAAAAAGCCAACTATATATTGCTTCATATTTTTATATATATATTTGTATACACACACACACACACACGCCCCAGTTAATTTGAGTAAAATATCCTGTGAAAAAATGAAGTTTATACAATGCTTTTGTTTTGAAATTATATTTTAAAAGATCTATTTGCTTTTGGGCTGGAGAAATTTCCTTTGCTTCCTTAATGCCAGGAGAGAGGGAGGGAGAAACTCCCTGTGTGACATTAAATGTAGATTGGTCCACACAAAATTTAGGCTTGTTTGGGTGAAGTAAAAGTCAAAGTACTTTTCAAACCTGATGTAAATCATAAAATTTGTGTGCTTTAACCAGACTGCTGTCATGCTTAAAATATTGTCAAGCAGAGTTCTAGCTGGTGATGTCTATTATGAAACTTAAGGTTAATGTAACCTAAGCCTCCACAGACATTGTTTATCTTTTAATTTCAAACAGGTTAGGAAATCTTTTCTATTTCTTCTCTTTGGAAACGGAACAAAGTTTGATTCTGTAAGAGGTAGAAGTTATACAATAAATACCTTGTGAAATGTTTACTGTACAACAGAAATTCTGTTACCCAAACAAACAACAAATGTGATGTATGGCAGAACAGCGTTACCCGCAAAAGGACCTAACACACCGGATGTATTCAATGTCCCCAGTTCTCGGAAAAGCAAGTCTGGCAGATTTTGATTATTAGGAATTACCAAATTCCCTCAACATTCAGACATACGAGTCTTTCAGTAGAGCTAATTGCACTGATTAAATCAGCATTTAGCAGAATTGACCCACTATCTCATTCTTTTTCCAGAAACTTTTTCCAGTCATCAACAGACTCAATCCAGAATTGTGGGTCGCTTCAGAACAGGTACATTTTTCCAAGGCAGTGTTTGAAAAATTTAACAGCTACACAGCGGCAAGAAGATAGCTTCAAACATAGATAATTTTGAGAGTAAAAGCTGCCTAAATATTTTTTTAAGAAAAAGTATGGGATAGTAGTGGAAATGGAGTTCTTATTAACAAAGTGAAATGAGCCCTTGCATGTTAGAAACAGGGTGAGTGTTTACATCTATATTTAAGACTTGTCTCTTCAGAAGTCCCTTGGCTCCAGGGGAAGACTGGTTGAGGAAATGTCAGTGACAGCTGACAATGTTGGTGGCAACAGGAGTGAAAGGAAAAAGCTACCCCAGGTTACCAACCTCTCCCACGGGCCGTAATATTTAGCCAGAAAAACTGACATCGGTGTCGCTTAAGAGAGGTAGGAATGACAGATGAGCTAGTAGGGAGGCACAGAATTTGTCCGTCTTTAGGTCACTGGTTCATGCAGTGTTTCCTCGGTTCTTGACTTGATGGAGGGGACTGGAAAACAGCAGTCAAAAGGCTCAAACAGGGCAGCCGCTGTTTGGCCGCCTGTGGGATGTTCATGGCCCATTGCAGCTAAACCTCTGCTGCCCTGTAGAACGTGGAACAGGCTTTGTTACTGGTCCCTTCTCACTCCTGGCGATCTTCTTAATACTGGGCCTTGTGAAACAGCCTCCGCAGGCCAGCTGACGTTTCTTGCACAAGGCTTGCATAGCAGGGATTATCCCCCGCTTAGCTCCAGGTTTTATGCTCCCTGTACATCGGACTTGTAGGCCTGCGTCACAGATCTTAGACAGGCCTCGTTTAGATACTCTACTACCTTTTAAGATGGGATGTTAATATAATTCAGAATGTAACTGAAGATCATCTAAAAGCAACTGGTTATTAACAGTGGCCGACTTCCTTGGATCAAACGATATTACCCACGGCGATAGTCAAGGGTCTCTCTATAGGGGGTGTATGTGTGTTATGTGTGTATATATACACACATGCCCCCCCCTGCTGAGTTAGCTCAGCACACTGGTGAAATTCCTTGCATGTAGAAAGAAAGAGTGCAGATGTGGAAAGCAGCTTTGGCTTCCTGGGGCTTAGGAACATTTTCCACAACAGTATAGCATCTGATCTTGGTTGTGGGCTGACAGGACCTCAACATACAGCCTAATGCAAGCTTGCTTTCCTTTTTAACTTTACAATATACTTGGCATTGAAGTATAGTATTCTAATTAAATTATTCCAAGTATGAAGATAATTCCACAGGTTATCATACTGTCCCTGTTTTAATTACAATTGGCCTCTGACTGGTCCTTTTAGATTTAAGTATCAGTACATTATGAGATTATCATAATTAGGAATGTTAAATCATTTCCATTTTTAATGAATCTGGTACATCTGTTATCTAGATGTAAGTTAAAGAACAGACACTACTACTAATTTGGGCTAATCTGGATGCTTTTGTAATACGTGAAGATTTCTTTACCAAACAGAAAAGAGGTAATAAACCACAAAGTACTTTAAACAATTTTGGCAAGGAAAGAACTAGAAGATCACCTTCTTATAAAAGTGCTACTTGTAGAAAAGAACCTTTGACCGAAAAATCATTAAGCCAGTAGGTGGAAAAATAAGTTAAAAGCTCCTAGAGTTACCTGAGAAACTAGAGGAAGTAATCAATGAAATTAACTGGGCTGAAGTTTCAAATGCAAGTATTTGAATAGAAGGTAATGTAACTTTTCCTTAGGTTAGAGATGAAAACTATCTGGAATTTGAAGCTCAAAGAAGAGAAAAAAGGTATTTTAAATGAGCTTGAAATGTCACTGGATGAAAAAACATTGAAAAAAGATGACAAGAAACCAATAAACAAATAAACTACATCCTGAAGGCCAGAAATGCCCAGAATGAATTACTGGACCTGGAAAAGGAAATTAAAAAAAAAAAACAAACCATGAAGTTTTTGAGTTTTGACACAAAACCAAAGCAGAGTAACTCATTACGGCTTGCCAGCTGCTGCACTTCATTAACAAAACCCATGTTTTTTTGCTCCTCTTCCATTAAAAGATAAATTTTTTCAGAGTACCTTACATTTACTACAGTGTAAGTGTACGTTACCACAGAGCACCTCCCAGGGAGTGACTTGCTCCTTCGCAGAAAATTTGCTTGTCTGTTCAACCCCTATTCATAGTCATCTCTACAGGCATTTAAAACAAGGTGAACAAGGCAAGAAATGACACTGTTCTATACAAAAGATGAACTCAAGGTCAGAGGCAAGCTAGGGTACAGCTCTGATGCTAAACAAACACATACCACATTTAAAAAACAAGTATGGTGTTAATGACATAGTGGTATTGACAATAGCAGAGCTTTGTAGTAACACAATAAGGGCTTTCAGTTTCAAAATCTACTGAAGCAGGAGTTAAGCATGAGTGACAAGCAATAAATGAGAAAATCAGGGGTATTAACTGCTACAAGCTGAGACTTGTAGTGTATCAAGGCCTGTAGCCTGTACAGGCTTCACCGGAACCAGGCTGCAGGAATAAACATACAACTCATGCATTCTTTGGGTTATTTGCTGGCACTGGGAATAGAAACTACAAGTAGACAATCATACGGTCAGTATGATGTGGTCTTCTAATTATGGACATAGCATGATACACGTCGATGCCTGAACTAAAAGTTGGAACACGTAGTGGGACTGTATAATCAGACATTTAGGAGTGGCTTGAGGAAGGCACCTCCAGAAGTGATCAGAGGAAGCCTGGACATCCCATCTGATCACAGAAAGGGCAATGGTGCCCAATGGTCCAAAGCAATAAAGGTGTGCAAAGGCACATAACGGCTATGAAAGACCACCACAAAAATTAAAAATGCATGTTTTCTAATTACCTCAGGAAGGTAAATAGTAGGGAAGGAGGATTAGTGAAAAACCAACCAAGCAAAGCGCCCCAGTATTGGCAAAATGCTGTGAAAGGGTGGTATGGACTCATGGGAAACAGCTCTAGTTTTCTTCATTTCCTGCCCCTTCTGTTAAGACTTGCTTACCTACGCATCAGCTGAGGAAGACTACTCTTTAACAATCTTCATGTAAGACAGCAGTTGGGAATAATTTCAGAGTGTAACATTGGAAAGCTTCCAAACACCAGATATGTTTTTGAATGGTCTCCAAGAAGATGGGGAGAAGAAGATACAGTTGTGAAATGCAACTTGATATTCCCCTGAATAATAAACAGTGGCAGAAAACAGGATACAATTATCTTCGTTTGTCTTAAATTTTCGTTTTGTTTTTTTTTGCTATAGTTGTTCCGGAAGCATTAGTCTAGTTGCCTACCAATAAACATACGAACTTCCACCCTTCTCTAACACCTCTCCAAAGGCCATGTGGTGGGGAAATAAACAGGGATAGGAAAACAGTGTTAGATTTTGGCAACTGCATTGATAAAAAGCTGTGCTGGTTTTGGCTGGGATAGGGTTAATCTTCTTCATAGCAGCTGGTATGGGGCTACCCTTTGTCAATGCTGTTCTCAGCGCAAATCCAACACAGGGATGTTTTCATCACTGCTGAGCAGGGCTCACACAGAGCCAAGGCCTTTTTGCCTCTCACCCCACCCCACCAGTGAGCAGGCTGGGGGGGGCCACAAGAAGCTGGGAGGGGGCACAACCAGGACAGCTGACCCAAAATGGCCAAAGGGGTATCCCACACCGTATGACATCATGCTCAGCACATAAAGCTGGGAGAATAAGAAGGAAGGGGGGGAACGTTCAGAGTGATGGCGTTTGTCTTCCCAAGTACCCGTTACATGTGATGGAGCCCTGCTTTCCTGGGGATGGCTGAGCCCCTGCCTGCCCAGGGGAAGCAGCGAATGAATTCCTTGGTTTGCTTTGCTTGTGTGTGTGGCTTTTGCTTTCCTTAATAAACTGTCTTTATCTCAACCCATGAGTTTTCCCCCTTTTACCCTTCTGATTCTCTCCCCATCCCACTGGGGGGAAGCGAGAGAGCAGCCGCGTGGGGCTTAGTTGCCAGCTGGGGTTAAACCACGGCAAAAGCAACATTTAAAGTTTTATGTGATAAACAACTGGACAGAACGTAACCAATGTTCCCTCAAAAATTTAATATCAATTTGAAGGAAGACAATTTTCTTCAAAATAAAATGTGACAATTTTACAGCATGTAAGTTTAAAAGAAACTTATCTTCAAGTGCTGCATTAATAAATCCATATGAATATAAATAATCTGATTTAATCACATTTGTCATTTCCAGTTACAGTTTAGCAATTACAAGCAAATACAAGTTCCTAAGCTAGAGTAATTTTTTGTCCTGGTCTGAATGTTGAGCCAACTTGTCCTTTCCTCTTCTTTGGATTCTGAAAATTATCATACCTGGAAACAGAAAAGGGTTTTAGCAAACTCTTATGAAACACCTTTGTTTGCATATGCTTCTTCAGATACACATCAATGCAACACAGAATTGTTTACCTCTATCTTTATGGAAATGAAGAGTGCATGACTCCTCAGACCTGGGGACCTGGAAGAGTTTTCATCCACAAACCTAACTCAGAGAGCTCTCTGCCTGCCTTTCTTCCTCTTTTTTTTTTTTATTTTTTTATTTTTTTATTTTTACTTTTTGGGGCTTGGCAGGGGAAGGTGGAACAGAAGGAACAGAAGTGGACAGGGTCATATAGATGCCTGGGAAGCATCTCTCATTCTCCTCCTTTCCTGTCCCTTCCTTCTCTTTTTCCCCTGCTGCAAGACCTGCTTATCTATGCATCACCTGAGGAAGACAGCTCCTAACAATCTTCATGTCAGAAGAACCCACTGGTGAGATCACAGAACATCCCGATGCCTGTTTCCAGCTTTATCACTCCAGTCTCTTTCAAATCTAAGGAGGCACATTCTCCTTTTCTGCAGAGTATTGCCTTTTCCCAAACACAGCAGCTACAAAGACCACTACGGAGGGTCAAAACCCAGCAGTGTGAAAATACAAGGGACTACTACTCGGTGGGAGCAGGAAGGACCGAGCTCAAAGTCTCAAAGAATCAGTGCCTCTTTGTACTAGTATAGCTCTGAACATAATACAAGGATTTTCTGGTCTGCGATTAGAATTTCTAGGTCATACATTAATAAAAATAATGAAAGAGAACGCACTGGTAAAATACTTTGTATGTAACTTAATATTTCTGAAAAAAATTGCTGTCAGAAGCTATTCAACTCTGCCATTCCCCACATTAAATAACTATTGTGTTTCTGATAGATAAGAACTGTGAAAAGACCGAATCTCCACTGAATACACAGTTACAAAAAAAACCCCAAACCAAAAAAACTTACAGTTCAGTAAAATTCTTCCAGTCATCTTGACTAATGGATGGTCTTATACCCTCAAGTGCGGTCATCAGATGGGACTGGGTAATAATTAAAGTGTTCTTGGCAGGCACTGACTGATTAAGGGTGCTGTCCTCCTTGAAAACAGAGCCACAAACAGACAATGAAAAATGACCACAGAAACAAAGACATAGTGCCATGAATATCAGTAACTCTGGAACTTGCCCATTACATGTAGAGACAAGTGCATTATAAATACAGTCACAACTCCCCCGCCTCCCTCCAGTATTAATAACACAGAAATAACTATTTAGTTATATGCATGCTAACATCTGGCTTATTTCTCCTCTAACTAGGTATCATTTATCTTTGCTGTCTTTGTTACATTATATTTAATATTACCCCAGAAATTATTTAGTGGAATACCAAGAAGTGTGGGAAAACAATAGAGAACTGTTAAGGCTAAATAATTGAAAAGGCTGCCGTACTCCATTCTTGCTTCTGTAATTGGCTTTGATAGCATTGATTTCTGTCCTCAGGTGCTCTACTTCCTGGTCCTGGTTATTTTCTAGGGAGTCTTCTTGAGAAGCTGTTCGAAGCATTGAAGGTTGTGATGATGCTGTGTCTCTCTGAGTCACGCTGGTAAAATCGTGAGTTATGGAGTTTGGTCCAGACAAACACAAAGAACTCTAAATTGACCACAAGGAGAAATATATTAAAGCATTATGGATCCAAAAGAGCAACTCCACCATTAAGATTTAGCCTATAAATTTAATTCAGTATAAGCTTGCCTCCACTGGCAAAAAAGAGTACTTCCTCTCAAAAATATACCCCATACATAACTTTTTGAACAGGAAGTTCAGGTTAAGTTGCCATGGTGTTTTGGGAAAAGTACAAGTTTGAAAATAAAGTGTTTCATCTTTAGGAATGGTCTAAATATTTTTGCAATGGCCTATCTCAAAAAGAATAAAGGTCTAATAAGTCCATTGTTTTATTTACATATGAAAATCAGTGGTTCTGAAATCTGGGCAAGTTTATGTACTTAGCTTTGGAGTGACTCATAATTTAAATATTCATCACCTCCAAATTCTCTGTGCACTTAATAAGTGTGAACTTCCGAGTTGAACAACTTTGAGACATCAAAGTTTTTGTAGCCTTGCTGAAAACTTTCACAGTTAGAGGAAAACTGATGTCTCTAAAGATACATTAATAGTATCATCGCTATCATCTATAATGCAAAATAAACCATACAAAAGCACCTCTCAGCACTCAGTAATCAATTCTACAATGTCAAGGTAAGTTATTTTTGGCTTTAAAAATCAATGCAGGACAGGTTTGAAAACAATAGCCTGACAACTTTCATAACTAACCTGTAATAGCAATTCTAAAACAGATCTTGAAAATGAATGTCCTGTGGATCACGTGCAAACTCTGAAGTCATCTGTTTGCCATAAGGAGCTTGGAGGCAGCATATTCTGTTTTGCTTACCCGGCAGCCAAGCAAGATGAGCCAGTTGGCTGATCACCATGCAGGTGGCTGGGTAGCCAACCGGCACATCCCTGTCTGCCAGCTAGCCTGAGAATGTGCTCCTTTCTGTGCAATGTGATACTACAACAACAGAAATTCTGCTTCTGAAGAGCAATGATGGCAGCTACGGTTCACTTCTGTTGTTTACACAGTCCCATGGTCAGATTATTCCATTAATGCACACTCTACTGGAAACTGAAAAATGTTCGTTGATTCTTAAGATTATAATTTAATTCTTGAAAGCCAGATGATCATTGTTTAGTAATAAATCTAAGTTAAAAAAAACCCCAAACCACCAAAAAGTTGAAAATTGGTTTAGTATTAAACTTTGGAAGGCAACAAGCCATTAGACCAGACAGTAAGATCTAGTGTGAATACAGTTTGCTTGATTGTAAGGTATTAAGCAGTATTTTAGGATTTTGATTTTAAAGTCCTGCAAAATTGCAGAGAAGTCCATATTGTATTTTGTCAGATCACATCCTTCCATCTTCTTCTCCACTGTGGGCCACAAGGTATAGGCCGAAGACAGTTTGAAGGATAAAGCAGACATAATTGTATTTATAAAACCATACCGTTTGCCTCGTTCAGTTTTTCTGCTTCACAACTCATAATATTTAGAAAACTCAGAATATTTAAGCGAGTAATTTACCAGTTCTGAAGGAGTTCCATTTCCCAGCTCTGATTCGTAAGAGCTTCCAAAATAAAGACGATACATGTTGGACCTTGGATCTTCAGGAAGCAAGTCAGACATGTCTAAAGAAATAAGAGATTGCTCTAGCCCTGTTTCTCCATCTATTGCCGAGTCATCTGAGCCACTGCTGTGGTTTAGAAAAACCATGGAAGAGAGACTGAAGTCACTATCAGAACTAGAACCAAAATCCTGTGACAAAGAACAGATCATTAGAAGTGTTAACACATAACTAATTGCAATCTGAAATACATAAGAAAATTTCATATACAGTGCAAATGAAAATATCGGTTTACATTCAATTCTAGTAATCTGTCTTTCTCTGGGCATATATTTCCAAATATTTTGCTAAGGAACTCCAATGTGTTTAAGCAGAACTTTCTGTCTTCCTGCTAAAAGAAAAACTTGAGGAGATAATCTTAAGGTTTTATTTGTTTGATTTGAACTGTGTCTCTCAGTCAGCAATAGAAAGTGTTGGGAAACTTCATGTGCATTTTCTGTTGTGGAACTGTATCACTTCTGTCTCAATCATTCCCTTTGGGCAGTTTAGTATCTTGTGTAAGGTGCTCTAGGAGATTGTGGTGAGTCTACTTTTACAGTGCCTAATTGCTGTACTCATCTTTGGTCATAGTCAACATATTTTAAGGGCTGATGTGGAAATCACGGTTGTTGCTTTAGACTGGTGTCTGCAAACCTTTCTGATTGTACCCCCCTATCAGTAAAAAATTTCTGAGCACACTCTACCAAATATATGCATATTTATTTATTTCTAATTTATATATATGTATCATTGAAGTTCTAACTTTTTCTTCCTGCACCTCAATGGATTGTCTTGTGGGTGCACACCACTCTGGAGATCACTTGCTTTAGACAGTGGACTCCTCTAATGATGGATAATCATTGAGTATCCTTACAACTACTTACATACTGATGCTACAAGTGAAGGGATTGTTAGGGAAGATATGCTGGAGATCCCTCCCAAAACTGAGCTGCATCCTCAGAGCCCCATCCCTTGGTAACAGCTGGGACAAAAAGAACCCAAGAAGTCTCCTTGCTTTCGCACCCATGATCCAACCCTTCTCTTTGACCTCCAAGTAGCAGAAGCCACGCCTGCCCCTTTCCAGCCTGAACCAGAAGACAGGCATTAAACATGTGAGGAGAGGTGGCTGAATAAAGGCAAAAAGAGGAAAGGACCTGCCAGTCACATAAGGTGTGCAAATCAAGGGTGGATTCCTGTACCTTGGAAGGGCAAGTATTAACTGGTGCCTGGAAGACGAACCAGAGCAGGCCACTTCAGATATCACCATCCTCTCGCCACTTCTTTCCTGACCTCAGATCAAACTGGATCTGTTGGAACAACTCCACAAACCCCACCGATTCCTTGCTTCCTCCATCATCCAAAATACATCACCTCAAAATTGAATTTGCTAGCTGCTCCTAAGAAACTCCAAGTGGGATCCCTCCTATTGATCTGTCAGTCATTCCTCATAACAGACTTGACTTACATAAATCTATTTAGCATTAAACACCTATCTCAAAATTAAAAGATGTGTTTACAAAATATTTGAACTGATTTGTTACATTATCCTTGCATTTTTCCACAAATTAAGATTTTAATCCTCTGTATACAAATATAGGAAAAATAAATCTTATTAAACATAATTTTGCTAAGAACTGTGAATAAAATTAAGCCTTTCAAATATATCAACACCAAAACAAAAAGAGGAGAGACTTCTTTTACATCAGTTTTACTTACCTGTGTTAAACCTGAACCTAAATTAGTATGGATTGCCTCTAACTGGGCATTGTACAATAAAGCTTTTAGGTCAGCTCCTGTGAACCGTTCTGTTTTTGCTGCCAAATCCTGAAAGTCCACATCATTGGCCAAGGACAGAGAATGACTGAGAGCTTTTAAGATTTCATAGCGTGAATTCTGTAAAAAGGGAGGAAAAAAAAAAAGACAGCAAAACAACCTGTTATTTTCCTTGTTCTGACTGCCAGATAGTGCTTTGGCCCTGTCACAAGCAACTTCCTATCTGAGGGAGGAAGGATCCTCTTTAAAGAAGATACTACCCTAATAATAGTACATATAGGATGAACTGTATGTTTTGTTACATTTTTCTTGAAGGGTTTAAGAGAAACTGTACCAAATGCAGTATACAGAGAAATAGATTTCTCTAAATACCCAGTGAATAACTGGGATTCTTATATATGAAATGTATTAAAATATGAAGATGAACTCTGCTACTCATATGTCCTTTTGCAAAGAGAAGTATGACAAAAGTGAAAAACTTCTGGTTACCTATATGATCATATTCTAAATCAAAAGTTTACCAAAAAAAAAAAAAAAAAAAAGAAAAATAAGAGTGTATCTGTGTTCTCAAGGCACAGGATCATCTTCTTCATGTGTGTTTCAGAATGAAATGATGTGGTATTTGCTAAATGTGCCAACTAATCCGAAAATGAACAGCACTAATTTTTTTCTCATAAAATGGGGAATCAAAGACACAAATTGTACAGCCTCAAAGGCCTGATCCAAGACTCAATGGGGATCATTCCTTTCCTGACTAGTGACACATTTGACTTAAAAAGAGCTTGACTATTCCAAATTAAATGTGGGTAAAGAAGAGTGCAATCAACTGGCTCTGAAAACTTCAGATGATTCAAGAGTTGGCTTGGGAACAGCAATGGTTCATCACTTCAAGCAAACAGCAGATCCACTGGACTCATAGATCAGAGAAAGACGCAGAACATGCTAAATACTACCCTGCATCCAATTTATTTCTGCAGACTAGTTTCTTTTTTTTATTTTTTTTTTTTTTTTAAAATCAGCTAGATTTACAGGAACATGATTTGATCCTGAAGAGTGTGATAAATAACCTTGTCTTTCCCCAGCTTTATGTGAACACATTGACACTAAAAATCAGTGAATTTATACTGTTGTATAACTGGAGCTGTCCAGTCAAGTCTGCTTTCAAACCTGCTGTCCAGGTTTGAGATGCCACTAAATATTAAAAAAAGGAGAATAAAGCCCATTAGTCTGATTTTTTTTTCCTTGCTTCTGACGTAAAATGTTTTGTTTCCTCACCTGATCAGGAGGTGGGCAGTACAGGCACTTATCCAGTCGACCTGGCCTTAACAAAGCAGGGTCAATCAAATCTGGGCGGCTAGTAGCAGCTAGGACATAAACCCCTTAGGAAAGTGCAGAAAAATATCATTAACATCTGCTAAACTTCTGCATAAAAAGGATCACACAGATGAATTATTACCTTGTAAGCCTTCCACACCATCTAACTGAGTCAACAGTTGGTTAACCACTCGGTCTGTAACTCCTGTGTTGTCATGACCTCGGCGAGGAGCAATAGAATCAAACTCATCAAAAAAAACGATACAAGGCTTAGCTGCCTGAGCTCTAAAAAGAATAAAAAAAAATCAAAACAAAACCAGAAACCAAAAAAAGGCAATACTTAAATTCTGTTTAAGTTTTGGTCACAGGTATAACTGTTTAGACATATTAAAGGTAATTGCTTTTTGCTTCAGAGAACTGTTATCTTTAACAAGAAAACAGAACATCTATTTTCTGTAGAAATTAAGAGGTTCTGAAGAATTGGATTGCAATGGAATCACTGCTCATTTTTATGGCACACCTTGCACTCACTTTGTAATTTCTGAAACACTCAACTGTCGTGTTAATATACGTGAAAGTCCTAAAATCCATTCACTGCAGATGAAGTCTTGGCTTATGTATATTTAACACAAACACTGTAAAATACATGACAAGCAAAGGCTATGTAGGATATGTTTACATTAGTGAGCATTGAGGGTGAGTAAGGGCAGATTTGTAAAAACAAAACAACTGCCACTGAGGACCTCAACAGCAAGTCTAGTATGATCCTACGTACTGGGTGTTCATTACTAGTTGGAGCACACACAACTGTCTCCTGGAATCATCTGAAAGGAATTCAGCATGTTTTTTCCGCGACAGTTCTGTGATGCGAACCAATGCACTGCAAATGGAGAGAACTGGGAGTTCAGCTTCAAATGCACACTCCTGATCTGAGCTGAAATGCTCAGGTCTTAAACAGTGACAGTCAAGTTGAACTTTCAAGATCTGAACATCTGGTTCGGCACAACTAATTATTTCAGACGCTTTTGTGATCTGATACCACACCTCTCCTAGGACAACAAAATTATTTCTTGGAGCTTCAACCAATAAAATTCATTGATAGCATCACAAATCTTTACAAAGCCAACCTGTTAAAGATATCTCGAACTGCTTGCTCACTTGCTCCAATGTATTTGCTGAGCAGCTCTGGTCCCTAAAATAAAAATCAGAAAAGAACATTCATGATATATTTCTTAGTTTTACTGTGTAATTCAACATCAGCATAGATTTCATATACTACTGTATGTAACCAAGAGAGTGGCATCTCTGAACAGAAGAGCCGAGGGGTCTAGATAAGCCAAAACAATCTTTTAAGCATTCCAACGTATTTTAAAGTAGTAATTTCCATTTTCCCACTACAGCAGAACATGTGTTACAGTATCACAAGGCAATGGCTTACACTGTATTTTGAAAATACGTTTAAAATTTATTGCTCAACTTCATTGCCCAGTGGAATCAAGATCCAGGATCTTTTTATAAAAATGGGAAACTAAGAACATCCAATGAAATTCTGTAATTCTGCCTAATGAATAATCATACAAAAAAAAAATAAAATCTCAGTAATAAAACTGTGAAGTTACAGAAGTCAGATGGAGGGATATCAAGACATACCAAATTTTAAATATGAATTTCTTACTTTGGTATTGTGTCCTCACAAGCACATACTCACAGATATTATGTTAAGCAATTTCATTCAGTTAATAAAATGAATCAATTAATCTTCAAAATCTTGCTACCTTGATGCTGATGAAATTCATTCCACTCTCTCGAGCAACTACCCCTGCTAACAGTGTTTTTCCTGTTCCGGGTGCTCCATACAGCAAGACTCCTGATCTCTGTCGTATGGGCAGGTTTGCAAATAATTCTGGATACTGGAAAAGAGTTTCAACAAGACGTATTCTAAAATACATAATTATTCTGCAGTGTACTGCAACATCACTGACTAGTGCTGATTTTTGTCTAAACAGAATGTGTCTAATTTCTTTTATCCACATTATCATCACAAGAGCTCACGTGGAATGCTGTTAAGTTTACTTGGGGCTGAAGTTGGTTCCTAGGCTTCATAGGTTCTTAAAATACAAACAAGTGGTATTTTCTACCAAGAGGAAACAGAACAGAATAGGGATGCTCCAGAGCTTTATAATGTACATATTGGTACTTCTAAATTCCTATTTTAATCACCAACTGATATGATTAAATTCTATAAGTATACAGTAAAAGATTCTGTCCATTATACAGAGAACTGTTCAGTCATTTCTCTGAAGACTGAAACGGATGGCTCATCTCAGTGCTGGAAGCTTTAAGCAAGGCAGAAAGGCCAAAGTAAAATAAATGGGAATTCGTGGATTAGCATTCATCCAAAAGAGAGTACTCCTCTAGCAAAAGCACTGCAGAAGACAGCTGGAAAAGTTATCTTTACAGAGCCTAATCACAAACCCTGCAACAGAGAGTATAGCAAAGATGATGTTAGCAAAACTGCAATATTCTAGAGCAACACTTGATCTGTAGAAAAGCAAAAGTCTTTTGTATTTAGAAAAGGAAAGGGGAAAAGCTACAAAAGTAGCTTAAAATCATACCTGTCATCTTTCTGTCAAATACTGTGTCACACCTACAAATCATCCTTCCCCTCCTAACATTACGTATAAAATTCAGGTAACTAATTTAAAAGAATTGGGTACCTTTGCAGGTAACATGATGGTATCCATGAGTATTTGCTTCACATCTTTTAAGCCACCAATCCTGTCCCAGCTAATATCCTTTGGTTTATGAAGGTTAACATTTGTCAGAGCTAATGGAGTAAAATCTTTTAGAGCTTTCTGAAAATCCACAGTTGACAGATTCAGTTCTGCTTAAAAGAAAGAAAAAAAAAAAAAAACCTGAACAAAAAAAAGAACACAGCCTACCAGTAACAAACTCCTCGCAATATGTAACAATTAAATACATTTTAAACATAAAACATAAAAACTGGCTTTTTCTTTCTGTATTACTCCTTGGGTTCTGGATAACGGAATTAAGACTATGAAATAAAAATTTTGTTGTCAACGTACCGCCATTTTGAAATGCATTCTGGTTGGAAACACAGGCATGAATGGCACGATCAACCAGCATAGTAAAATCTCTAGCAACAAAACCTTCTGTTTCCTTTGCAATACATTGGAGGTCAAGATCAGAAAGCTTCTTCATATCAGAATTCAGTTTGTTTTTTATTATGGAATATAGAATTTCATATCTTTGCTTCTGAAAAATAGAATTGTGCAGCAAGTGTATATTAAGTTTACTATTTATATGGATTTCAGAAATTCAAAAAGTAAATACATACAAGTTACTAAAATTTCTGTAAATATTTACATGTCACCAAACCTTTGAAAAACAAAATCTGAGCAGACATGAATATAAACAGAAGTTAGTTCTTCAGGTGAATTTCAATGTACTCACCAGTTTTACAACTTTAAACGTTTACCTCACCACAGCTATCTTAAATCCAACAAAAACAATGAAACAACCCTCCATCCCCCCAGATGCGACTGTTTTACACCCGTTTTTTCCTGTTTCACAGGAAAAGGAACATCTTTCATTTTGCCAATATGAGTAGAATGTATTTGAGATTAAATACATTGCATTAGATAAGAGTACATCAGATAGTTTGCTATCTTCTGAGATCCTGCCTTTTCCAGTGGTGACTCATCCGTACTCGTGTATTAGTGTTAAAAATGATAAAAGGCAGACTTGCAGGAAGTGGGAGAAAGCTACATCGTATCTAAGGCAGAACCCCCTCCTCAGTGGCCTTTAATGGCTAGCCTGTGACAGAAGGCAAGCAGGCAGGAACAACGGGTGCTAAATACAGATGAGTTGTCATGTCTGTGTCATGCCATTAGGGCATGCACAGGTACAAAGCGCTGCTTTCTCCTGCAGTGAAGTTGCACTGTTCCTTCTTCCCTCTGACCTTTTTACTTTTCAAAGTGGACTATATTCAAAAGTAGGGGGATATTACTAACATAGAAAACAAAACTGAAACCTTCCCATAAAACTAACACTCAGTTTTAATAACATTTTTAAAATACACATTCTAGGGACGTAATTATTCCTCTGAGCAGTGAAAAAACACACAGGTTTAATCTCATTTATCTAACTGTAGTGACTTAGATGTTTTTTCAAGCTGGTCCCCTAGAATCCCCCTACAGGTAACAAGGAGACATACGTATCTCACCTATGTTAGACAACCTGACTTGTTTTATGTTGAACCAAAATGTCCTCTGAAAACACCATTCTCTTGCCACTGAAGATAAGGAGAGTGGGGCCAACTGTGAGTTTTCACTGGATTGCTTTTTTTTTTTTTTTTAAACTTTACAATGACAGATGTAAGTTCTGAGGTATTTAAGTATCATGAAAGAACTTCTAAGATTTCCAGATTTCTTCCTCATCTTCAGGTGTAACCTACTATTTTTGCAGCTGTTCCAGTAGCATATTTGAGGCTGCAGGGAAGGCAAACAACATCTTAACCGAATGAATAAGTACCTGAATTTACCTGATCTGGAGATCGGATACATTTGAAGCACTGAAATATGTGAGTTCCTTGAGCTGAAACCAGGGAAGGATGTAGGGAATGTTCAGACTGACTTGTGGCAATTAATGCAATCAAACTCCCCATGGAAATAACTTCTTTTATCAGATCTTTCAAAACTAAACACATAAGACATTGCTCCATGAATTGCAAAATAACAAAAGATTTTGCATTTCATAATAGACATTTCTACTGTACTGAAGAGCAGCATTAGGGCACACAAAATGTAACACCTTATATATTTGTTTTACTCCCATGTTTACAGGCTTTTTTTAAAATTAAAAAAATAAAAGGTGTATAGTTATTTTTTCTAGGACAGTACATTCCACTGATAAAATGCCATCAGAAATGCTCTTTAAAAGCTAAATTTGTAACATCACTGATGAGGTCTACCACAGGATATTAAATGTGATTTTTTTTTGTGCGCTATGATCCCTGTTCTAGAAATATTATTCCCTCCATGCAAACAAAGAAGGGATAGTTGTAAGAATAAAATGAGATGCTAAGCCTAGAAAATAAGAAATCTAGGAAAAAATAACATATGAAAATCAAATAAATTAAGGATGCAAGGTAGATGTTCAAGGAATAATCTTTAAAACTCTAAACCTCAGTTGTATGCATTGTACCTGTAAATAAAGTAATAAAAACACAAACAATTCTGCAAGTAACTTAAGTGCACATTTTTAAAAAAGAAATGATGATAAGATTTTCTGAACTTCAAAAGTAATTTAATAAACAATTATGCTAACTCCCTCAAACTGAGCTAAGAAATGGAAGATATTTTTTGCTACGACTTGAATTTTACATGAACAGAGTTGAATACACCTAAAATATATATATATACATTAATCTTAATAATTTAGTTTTATTTTGCAACTTTTCACTGCCTAGATTTTAGAGAATAAAAGGAACTGTACATAGGATGTGAAACTACAGTTGACAATCTTATTTTTAAAATCTGTGGATTGTTACACTGTAAATTAAAATAGAAGAAGTTCTACGAAGTCTACCAAGTAGGATGATAAAGAAGTTAGTATTCAGCTAAAAGCAGCTGTTGGTTCTAAACATCAATAAGTATCAAATTTATGTATCTCTGTAATTATAAATAATTATGGAAAACAGGATCAATTTTAATATGTCAGTTATAATACGGATCTTATCAGTAATTATCAGTTAAAGATTCCTCTGTAATTTGTAAGTAAATGCAACATATTTGAGTGCATGAACAATATTAAACAGAAGTGAGAAGCCTCTACCACTGGCAGCGGTACTGACAACAGGCAGTGCCATCAGCAGTGGTGGTGAACATAGCATTGGCAACGACTACTCCAGCCTCCAGAGTGGACTATTTTGATTCAGCTAGTGGTCCACAAATGGTCTACACACCATAATTTGTGAATCCCTGCCATGGAACACCACATGGTCCAGAGGCAAAACCAATACAGACAGAACTGTCCAGGTAGGACAGTATGATTCAGGTACAAGGAATTCTAAGTTCCATTATATTTTTAGCCAGATACAGGTAGCACAGTATTACCATAAGCAAGTCTATTGCTTTGAATGGTTTCAGGGCTGTTCTCATGCTCTGGTGTAGAAGGTACTCCAACAATGTAATCAAGATCATCCATCAAAAGAATGGATGGTTGTCTCCAGGCTGCCTCTAAAAAAGCTTCTTCCACGTTTTTCCTTATGTTTACTGATCTTTTTCCTAAAACAGAAATTCAATTTTAATGACAAAGCATATCAGGAAAAAAAAAATCATCAGGCTGACTATGTCTTGCTCACATAATACTACAATGTTTTTATTCATGTCGTTTAGCTTTACTCCTATAAACCCAGGTGCCACGATTGAAACAGAGTCAACAGTCAGTAAAGAGTCCACATCTTCCATCAAAAAAGTACTAGAAGCATCCACCTGTCCAAAAATGAGGTTAATTGTCTTTCACTAACCACTATAGAAGCCTACAGGTCTAAATTCTAGACAGTTAAAAACAGAGCAGTATCAGCAGCACTCTAAATTAGCTACAGAGAGTCCCACAATTGGAAGAATTTTTCAGAGCAAAGGACCTGGCTCTTTATCAGTCTTTGACTTTTCCTCTGGAGCAAGGAGCTTGGTAGGGACTTAAGCAAAAAGAGTATAGCTATGCAATGTAAAGGCTCTGTAAGAAAGCAGTTGAGTATTCTCTGCTTCTGTAACACCAAGGCTGTTTGGGAAAGTCAGTGAATGAAAGAGTAAAAAAAGCCTTTTTTGTCCTCTTCCATCTTTGGCACAAAATACTTATTTTGAACTCACAAAACCTAAGGATTCATCTCATCATCATATATAATCATGAGTGTTAGATTACTATTGCCAACATACACTAGGCTAGTAAATATGTGATCATAAATCAGATTTCAGCTGATCCTATTTTGGTGCCTGTGTCATCCTTTCACTGAATAATACAGGTATCCTGTAACACTTATGATTTGTTAGCGTAACATTTGTTCCAGCTAGCACAACTGAAAAAACACACAGTTCAGCCTGCAACTTCTTCCTATTTTGTAACAATTAGAAACAAGCATAGCAAACGTGGTTGGAATTTGGTGGTGGTACATGGGACAGAAACTGATAAAAGTGTGAAATAAGCTTACAGCAGCTGTATTTTCACTAGACTGTTAAAAGATGCTCATTGCGGGGCACCAAATATCCCTGCAAAAGCAGTAATAACACTAGAAAAATTGCTCAAACTAAATATAATAACTTCATAGCTGCGCTGCTTCATCATACAGCAAACATTAGAGATTAAAAAAAAAAGTTATCATACCTCTTAAAGCTTTACAATCAATTACTTCTACATGAGCATCCAGTCTATCGAATGCTTCTTTGCAGATGGCCTTTGCTAATGTTGACTTTCCACTTCCCTACAAAAATAGATGTGACCTAATGTAAATTGGCAGAACTATTTCCTTCTGTTTCTGTGGAGTTTTTGTCACAGTAGACGCTACTTAACAAGCTGGGAAAGCTGTACACACACTGATTTTATTCCTCACCAGAAGTATATAAAGACAGAATATGTATATTACTTGGTAGAGACACCAAAGCCCTAGAGTGAAACAAGTATAAACAAATTCAGAGTGGATACATCCACTACAGATAGCATTCTGATTCCACTGAGTTCACTGTTAAGACATCTGTTAGTTTCAGTGGAATATAGTATTAAAGGGACCACCACAAGTGGCAACAGTAAAATAAGAGTATCAACTCCGCTGCCATTTTGTGTTGTAACACAGGAGAAAATTCTACATTCTGATTTTCATTCAAGTATTTCAGAGACAAGAAGTAAATTAATCCCCTAGGGGAAAAAACTGAAATTGCACTGGTAGCAATCTTTCAAACTTAGATTATATATATATTTTATATATACACATGAAATATGAATATATATTGATGAAGCGTGCATATAATGTGTATACATACATGTAATGTTTTACTGAATTAACTCTGTTCAGTTAACTGCTCTTTTCTCAGCTTGCTCTTTAATTCTTTGGAATTCACAAGGTATCAAAGAAAACTAAGGAAAACAGTTTTGTAACTACAGAAAACAATCTGGGAGGGTTTGCAAGTAAATGGTAAAGTGTGCACCTTTCCTCCTGTGAGAAGCACCCCTCCGCTTCGCAGTCCCACAGCAACAGCAGCCAGCTTTTGAGATAAAGGACGTCCCAGAAGACTGTGGCTTATGTGTTCAAAGGAAGATGTTCCTAATTTGTCCACCCCTCTGCAGAGCAAATAAAACATTAAATGGCCTGGGGTAGCATCAGTGCACACAATGTAAATAGTGACAGCTTGCAGTAGGGTGAAGTTTCAATGCCGACACATTTCAATATATTTCACCTTTTCCAGAAAAAGCTAAAGATGATTCAATTTGAAGAGACAGCACCTTTATTTTGCTGTGGTGACGCAAGGGACACAGACAGACATTGCAGAACACCCCCACAATATTGGGAAGGGCTATCTAGTCATTCTATACCACCCTAGCATGAGTTAGGTCTCAAGACAAGAGCCGTGTTTTGGGGCTTCATTCAAGTGTCTGAGTAACAACTTACTACGGCGTGTTACAAAACGGTAAAACATGGAGCATGCCTGGGTCAGAACCCTTCTCAGCCCTTTTGGAAAAGCAGCACATAGCGCATTTGAAGGCATTCTTATCCTTTGCTGGTCCTAAATCTTTGTAAATTTCAACACAGCAGTGATCCTTTCAGGTCCACAAACAGCAAAGCTATTAGTTTTGTATTTCAACTCTAAGCAAAAAGTGTTGTTCCAGGAGAAATTGAATGAACAAATGAATCCTGGTTTCTAATACCCCTACCATTGGAACAGGCTTCCTAGAGAGGTGGTCGATGCCCCAGGCCTGCCAGCGTCCTTATTAATGTGCTTTAACTTTTGGTCAGCCCTGAAGTAGGCATGCAGTTGGACTAGATGATCATTGTAGGTCCCTTACAACTGAAATACTCTGTTCTACTCTATTCTATTCCATTCTACTCTATTCCTACCACATCCCATCTCTAGCACACTACCTCTAGATCAGTTCCTATTCCCTCTTCAATAATATCCTTGGTTGCCTTTCACAACTCCCAAAGCATATGACCACAGTACTTCCAAGTCTCTCATGTCGCCTCTGCCCCATCCCTACCTCAAGTACCACTGTCTTCCACTATACTAATGACCACAGCTTAACATATCACTTTGTTATTGGCTGGGAAAGAGCCAGCATGTCTTATGGCTAGTTCCAGACTATACCACTGCCACTAGCCACCTAGCAGGTTAACTAAGTAGCTGCTGAGTTTACATCTCACTTTTTACCTGTAGAGACATGATTCTGAATTTCTCTCTACAGATGACAATTCTGATAAAACTATGAACTAAGTTTCTTTGAGACACATACTATTAAATTTCGTTAAACAAGTAAACAGGTTTAAGTCACTGTGGGAAGAGGACTGACAGACTGCAACGTACCATCAGTTTTCCTTCGTTTGGAAACCCCAGCTAAAAACACCCTCTAACAACCCCTGCTACACAGAGGTCTGTTTCATACTACATAGAAGCACAGCAAGACTCACTGAGCTATCAGTGTTTCTTCTGAAACTTAAGCAGTTCTGAGACTTCCCACCCTACTGTCAGACATGGTGAACTTTTCAGTACATGAGTACCTTTAGTCATGTGAAGTTTTCTACTCACTTCAGTAAGACTATTTGGAGGACAAAATTAACCATCTGCATCACTATGATAAGGTCTGAACCTGACACAAACCAAAAGATTCAGAGTTTTTTTAGATCTGGCTGTTTTCAAAAAAATCTGCATTTCCACCAATATATACATATATATATTAATTCCCATTCCCATCCCCTCCCATATTTTCTACTATGAAAATATCTCACCCTAAATCGTTTAGTTTGTGGAAAGGAAGGTTCCTGTCTGTATCACACATAGGAGGCTGGCTGTCACCATCAGCTTCTCTAGTTAGGGGATGTAAAAGAACCTGTAACAAAGGAAAGAGTTAGCACTTTCCATTAAGTATAGCTACAGAAGAAGGGTATAGAAATGACTAGTAATTTTTGGAACTGTATACAGAAAATGCTGCACGTATACTTTGCTGAAGCTTACTGCGCTTGAAAGAAAGATGCGCTGGTAAAATGGCATTGCTACAACTATTTCCAAAATACAATCCAGTGTTTCCAATGACGTAACAACCTGTGATTGGATGTCAGGCCAAGTGCTGCCTATACCAGACTATGCAGCCCATCATCTATTTCCTTACCTGTAACTAATTATTTCTTCTCCTGTGCCCTCCCCTGTTGCGCTGGCACGAGCACTTCTGAGGCAAGACAGTGAATAAGCTCAGGAGTCTGATTGGGGCAAAAGTAACCTGACAAAACACCTGGCTTTTTTCATACACATGAATTTTTCAGTCTAGTCGCTGGGGAGCTAGTATGGAAAGCTGGGCAGGCAAACAGGGCTAACAGAGAGGTTCACAGCCTGGCAGGAGATGCTGACACTGCTATTAAGAAATATATTTTGCTCCTTCATCTTAGTACCACTCACTAGCACAATTTGTAGAAGTCTTCTTGTACTTCTCTACTACCAACAGAAATAAAGCTCATTTTACTTTTTTTTTTTAAACAGGAATCCTAAATTTTGCAGAAAAAAAAAAATCTATTCTAAACAGCTAAAACAGGACAACTTAATTCTCTGCTAAAATGTAACTAAAAAAATGTTATCCCACTCCTATAACCATAAAGCCGGAGTCATGGGCACTGGTTCAACCAGAGTTATTAATGGAAACAATAATCCTAATATTCAATGGAAATATTTATTCTCCTGAGAAAGGAAAGACTGAAGAAACAGAAGCACAGAAACTATACAAATGAGAAGGCACTGTGAACTTAATTCTCTGCTAAAATGTAACTAAAAAAATGTTATCCCACTCCTATAACCATAAAGCCGGAGTCATGGGCACTGGTTCAACCAGAGTTATTAATGGAAACAATAATCCTAATATTCAATGGAAATATTTATTCTCCTGAGAAAGGAAAGACTGAAGAAACAGAAGCACAGAAACTATACAAATGAGAAGGCACTGTGAGCTTGGTAGGTTTGAACAGGGAATAAGTCTCATCTTTGTCAGAACAAACTACTGTTCCTGCCAGATACACTGTGAAGCGATCTTACAGTGGTTTAGGTATTAAGTGAAAGAACAACTAAGTATAAGGATAGTACATTTAAACTTGGACAGCACTGACTTTCCTCTGCCCTAACTAATTTTTCTGAGACTTCAATATAGACTACAAAATTCAGTAACTAGTGTGGCATGCCTGGAATCTCATCAACACTGAGGCATATATATAAAACAACATACAAAGAATGCAGATAATTTAATTTAATGAACAGACTGACATTATTTATTTAAAGAGGGAAAGCAAAATACGTTACATATAAAATGTAATATATTTTTAACCAAATATAACAATTTAAATTACTTGGTACCTGATACTATGTGATATTTACTTGTATATTAGTCTTTTGCAGCAAACTGGGACTCAGTATAAAAATATTCTCAGACTTATTTTCTTCAATGTGCGTAGGATGCACTACACTAAGGAAAAACTCCTCCATTCCTGTAAAAACCCAAAGAACAACCATTAAAATTCCAAATAAATTCAGTTTTTATTCCTCACAAGATGAGACAGACTAGTGCATTTTGAATTACTACAATATAATCCAAAATGAAAGAATAAAAAAGATTAATCATTAATAATGCATGCTTACAGTTTCAGTGTAAAGAGATATCTGTTAGGTTAAATGGTGTATACCGAGACTAAATGGCATATTACCTAAGTAAATTCCCTAATGGACAGTTAAAACAGCTACAGCACAGGGCAGTATATTCCTTACCTTCGTTAAGAGACAGATGTATAGAGTCTGTGCTTGTCATTATCCACGGGAGATCATCAGTAGCAGAATCCTGCAGCCAAGAACTGAAAGCAGATTTAACATCATCTTCATGTATATCTTTATGCTAATTAGGAACAAAGAAAGAGGGAAATCAAAGAAAACAAGGTGTTAGTAAGTAAAGTGTTTTCCTCCTATGCAGGAGGCATTTGTTTCTCTTATGGTAGCAGAGAGATGGAACAAGATTTAACAGTTTTATTTACATAGAAAATAACGTTTTGCCAACAAACAGCTTTTCTACCAACTGCTCAATGGAAAGCACCCATCTAGCCCTTGCTATGGCAACAGGTGAATCTTCCACCACCTCTAAAGATTTTATCTTTGGAACACTGATGCGAAGGCAAGGAAAAGCTTTTATTTTTCTTTTACTTATCTGTATTGCCAGATCCAAGAGCACTACTCAGCTCTGGGGTTTGAAAGAGCACCCAAGACACGCACCATTATTGACCTGTGACTTATTTTGGGTGCTCATTACACCCCTCTCTTCCCTGTACACCCTGCTTCCTATAAAAAGAAGCCTGGGCTCATCTAGATCAGGGGCACCACCAACAAACTTCAACAGGCAAGCAAAGAGATCAAACAACTTATCCCAGATCACTGAGGGAAGTGGAATAGGAAAAGAAATTGAGTCTAGACCACAAATATCTTAGCTGAGTTCCTAATCACAGAAGCACAATTCCCATCTAAAAAAGGGGGAATCAACTGAGGTCATGGGAGCAGCGTTCAGAAAGGAAAATGAAAATTACTGTCATATTTCTTTCTATGTTTGTCTGGTTTGCTCCAAGAACTAAAAAAACCTTCAACTGAATTAGAAAGAAAGGCAGAAATCTGTATGTAAAACATATAAAAGCACACAACTACTTTGTATGATTTTAGCAAATTACTGACAGAACACTCCAGTATAAAAAACTCCAATATATTTTTTTTTTTAAAAAAAAGTGTTCAAACATTCCTCTGTAGGTAAGAAACCATGATAGAATACTGTGGATAAAGAATGACCACGCATAAGCCCTGCTATGACGGGAAGTGCTGTACTTAAGGTTTTGAGGGGCAGCTAACGTGGGAAATAATCAGTCCAGTGTCACACAGGAATAAGCATATGGTACATTATGAAGAAATACGTCACTCATCTGACAGACTGTGAGAACTGGTGCAAAGTATGTTCTTACTGTCACAGATGCTCACTCAGAAGACTGGATATGTCTCACAGGAAAACAGAGGGATTCAATGACATAACTCTAGAAAATTAAATCTTTAGTATGAGGGAAAAAAATATCAGCATTAAAAGGAAGTAAAAAAATCTGTACAGCACATAAAAAATTATAATTTTACTGCAATTGTCTTTCGTAGGATATCCACTGGGCACTGCGATGTTTGAAGAGTATAAGCATGTCTTCTCCCAGAAGACTTAAAATGGATATTTCGTCTTTAACTCTGATCCTTTTCCTTTTTTGTTTTTGTGTTTATACGACTAAATGTATACACTTAAAATTTGCTAAGTTGGAACCAGTATTAATGTACTGCAGATGAGGGTCTGATACAAAATTATCAATTATTGTTGCTATTTTGACAGCAACTGTTTACGTTCGAGACTTAATTAAATAGAAAATGCATCTTTTCCCTACCAATGCCATTTCTCCTTCATGACGTCAACACCCTTTTTAGTAAGAAAGGTGTCACAAATTTTCACAATTTGAGAATCATGGAAGATCCTATGATTTAAAAGGTACTACACAGCACTCCTCTAATAGCTTCAGGAAACTGTGAGTTAAAATTCTGAAGTTCTGTTTCCTCCACGCTCTGTGACCTTTGCCAGTTCCTTTAAATAGGAAACTTTTACAGATAACATGCCAAACTATTTACAATATTTACCAAGTGCAAAACAAAATTTAGTGGCTTAATGTTTACAGTATCATTGATCAAAATACAAAATAGCATTACTAGATAAGCCTTCTTTAAGTGGATCATAGCATCTTCTTAATATAAATTACTTACATAGTAAAAAGAAAAAGCAAGGAACTATTAAAAAAATAAATTCCTTTGGAATGATGTTATACATGATGGACAACTCCCAAATTATCACCTAACAAATGAAAACAAATAAACATTGAAAAAAAACCAACCTTGACCAGAGCAACTTTATCAATTTTCCAATATATGAACAAATATGTGACCAAGAATATCAACTCACTAAGTTCTGTTTGGGTTGCAGTCTAAGAGATACAGGCATTTTAGGAATAGATTCAACTGACTTAATTCGGACTGTTGAATGCATTTCAATACGTAGTTTTTTTCTCATACCATCTGGAATCTGAAATATTTAAAATAAAAGCAAAGAAAAAGGAAATATCAGAAACTAAACCAGTTACAAGATTGGCTATATAGTACAACATCAGTTTCTTCGTCACTAATAGAACCTCTACATTTGATCATTGATCTGTTCATTGATTGTAATCTGCAAGAGATAGAAACCATAAAATGGATGGTGGTATCCAGATCTTATTCTCTCATGCACACTTCTAATTGCCTTTTAGCCTATTTGTGAAAGTGCTCACTATAGCTGACCACCTACTAACTTCTTTAAATGAAAAACAAAAGGTTGAAAAAGAAGAATTAGGAGGAATTCTTAGAGTGCTGTAAGAATGCTTTTACTACAGGAGAAAAACAACAACTCTACTTGCATTGCTGATTAAAATAAATTTTACATGGGCAGGTAAATATAAATTATACTTAGTACAAATATATATATTTAAATATATAAACTTAATATATACTTAAATACAAATTATACATTATAAAGATCAGAACTAAGCACATCTGCAGCACAGAGAAAGAAAATCCAGTTTCCCTAAATTGTACTAGTCAGTTTACCCTTTCAAAAAGGAAACCACTTTTCAAATATTCTGCGTTATTTTAAACATATATCCAAACTGAAAACATCTCATGAATGTTTAAGTCTGAAAGATTTTATGGATGCTGGCATTTGGAAAATTGTTATGTCTCTCAAAAAATTTAGTGGTAAAGACCACTGCAGGCTCTTGCTCTCTTTCTCAACAAAAACCGTAAGTGAACGGTGAGAAGTATATTATGTCAAAATAGTCAAATGGTGGTTTGGAGTGCATTTTATCTATTTTTGTTGATCCCACATGGGCTTCCAGGAAAGAAAGAGCATCAGCAGGCTGTAGTTCTATCACAGCAAGCTGAATGTCAGTGTCTGCACACCAGGACTTGTGTCACCTTACAAAATAGTATGCAAAACCTAAAATAGCTTAAATTATATAAAAGCTAGTTATTTGATATTTTTTAAAGATTTATTTTAGAGAGTATATTAAAGTACTTGCAAACACAGTGTAGCACTCAGATATCTGATCCCATTACTTTACAGTCTGATGACACCTAGAGTCCAAAGCATATTTTAAAGTGATAACTGATGAAAAGAATCTTGTTATGCAGTACTCAATGTATCTAAGTAAATACTTTCACATTCTCATGAATACAGTGGCTACCAACAGGTCTTGAAAAAAACATGCATTCCCTCCAGAAACACTGAAGAATTTTCCCCATTTGGTGCAAAAATGCTAAGGGTGCAGAAATGCAGAGTACACTGTACATCTTGGAGGATGATAAGTAAGGTAAGAAACGTGGTCCAGACTTAGAAGGCCTAGCAAAGCACAGCTCTAGTAAATATTACTTGATTCTAGGATACTCTACTTGGGAGCTTAACACAAAGTCTATACACCCAAAAGGCACATTAATTAGCTAGTTCCACAATTATCCAATAGAAAATATTATCCACAAAAAGTCCAAAAGATAGTGTGCTCAAACTGACCCAAACTCTTCCAACATGTAGGGCTTCCCCACTGTGGCCATACTCTATGACACTCTTTAGGTCTTCGAATCCGTTCCAAACGATTTGAACAACAGATCCCTCACTGGATGCTTGACTGCTATTAGAATTAGAATGACTTTTGTCTTGTGTACTAGTCAAATCCTTTTGCTTTTCAAATGGCAGATTTTGCTTTGCTTCTTGATGACGCTGTCTTGGGGAAAGCAGCTCATTAATTTTCCCATAAGATACTACAGGATTTGGATCCAAATCAATAAATTCTAAATTCCATGGAAAAACATGAATAGCATTGCATTTCAGAAATTCGTGAGTGGCGGATGCATTCTGTACGCTGGGAGGCTGGGACTGACATACTCTAAAAATGGAATCCATGTGAATTAAGTTCAGCAGCTTGTCTTTGAAGATGCTCATTTCATCTTTATCACACACAGTCTTTCGTTTCTGCTCAGACGTATGAGAGAAAATCCTCCCTATGAAATTCCATATATTTGGGAGAACATTTGAGCCAAATGTCATGTTTGCATCAGCCTTACTCTGTTCAAGGACTCCTGGCTTTAAGTAAGGTTGTTTGGCAAAAGGATCCTTTACTGTTTCTTCTTGCTCCATGTTATTTTTCACAAAACTTTTGAGCAAGACGTCACTTTCTGTGGAAGGCGTGCTGGTGATATTTTCCTCAAGTTCGCGTGTTTTGGGAAGTATCAGAAGCTCCGTGCAAGGCTCTAATCTCCCATAGGGGGCTGCTGGCATAAGCGTACCTGAGTATGAACAAAGCAGGTTAATGAATCCATCCACTCTTGCAAAAGAGCTTACTCAAGGTGCCACAAGAGCCTTCACTGTTGCTTACCGATTTTGATGTAAATGTGAGTGTGCTGTTCAACCCATACAGGAAAGATGGCTTTTGGAAATACTATTCGAATCTGGTCAAGAAGATGTTTTTCAAGGGAGGAAGCGTGCAGTTCCTGGGAAAATGTGATATCAATGTAAATTAAACACTGCATACACTTTTAACATTTGTTTGAAGACAAAAACTCTAAGTCTCTTTCTAATATACCATTTGAAATATAAAATACAATTAAACCCCACCACACTGAGTATTTCCTTAGGGGCTGAAAAGAATGGGGCATTGCACAAAAACCTGCTTGTGTCAAAGTCTCTGTCATCTGTAAGAAAAGGATGTGAACAGGGGAAAAGGTTTTAT